CGTATGTGATGTTTATGTTAGATGTTTGTATGTAATGTATGTGTTGTATGTGTTTCTTGTATATGTATGTGTTTTTATGTGTGTGTGCGTGTGTGTGTGTTTGTATGTATTTATGCATGTTTAGACGTAAAACCAGAGTGAATATAAATGCAATACATATAAATGCGCTCCATCAGAACAGAAACAATCACTAAATGAACTTTACCGTACATACAAACACCCACTGGTAAAGATACACACACATACAACCACACATACACAAAAAAGAGAGAGAGAGAATAAGAGAGAAAAGAGACAAAAACAAAAATACATGCAAACATACAAATATATATACATACAAACATACACACAAGGCCAGTTTTTGAAATGCTATTATCTTGATTAGTGGTTTTGCAAAGTTTGAAAATTTTATTTCTCATTATCGTATTCATGACAGTTTTTATTATTTTTAAATTTTCTGGCTTTTTAGTTCATACATACACATACACACCACACACATACACACAAACAGACATGAATGTGTGTGTACGTGTGTGTGCGAGTGTGTATGTGTGTTTGTGAGAAGGAGAGAGAAAGAGATTATGTATACTTATATGTAATACACCTATTTTCTCATATATCAATACATGAAGTATATAGTGCGGAAATATTGCTTGCACACAAATGTACATAGATAAAAAATGACACAGACGTACACACATGTTTGTACACTCTGAAATATTCAGATATAATTTTTACTAAAATACACAGTATACATAAAAAACATACATACTAACATACAAGCATTTAAACATACAAAACCAACAAACATATAAACATGCATTTAAACATATTTGCAAACATACCTACATACAAAAAATAGATACATACACACATACAAACAAACAAACAGCACACAGCATCTTTTTTGTATCTCTTTTCTGAGCGATCCAACACGTATGTAGCTCATTGAAAGAAATTCAAATGCTGACGATGTGACTTGTGCTGTGATGACCAGCTTAGCACTTTATCCTTTTGTATTCAGTTTTTTGTATGTCTGTGTGTGTGTGTCCGTGCGTATGTGCGGGTGTCTGTGTGAGTTTGTGTTTCTTTGTATGTGTGTATATGTGTGTGTGCTTTCGCATGTGTTTATGAGTGTTTTTGTATGTGTTTGTGTGTGCATAACGTTTGTGTTTATGATATTGTTAGACCAAAGAGTAAAACAACCAGACATAAACATAAACATAGATCTTTCATTGTTTAATTAAAAATATGTAAATTTGAGAAGCATTAAAAACTAAAGAAGTTTATGTGTGTCTATGTTTTTTTTATTTGTCAGTTATGTTTATATGTTTATATTTATTTGTTTGTTTTTTTTTAAATTTGTCTATAATTTTTTGAAAAATAAAACTTATTTTAATGTTTAAACGCTAAAATTTTGCATTATTCTTACCAGAAATAGGGATTAAAATAACTCAGAAAAAAATGAGTTGATTCATTGAAATTGAACTGGATCGAACGTGTTTACGTCAAAGATTGAGATATTTTATTGTTTTGTTTATTTCTTGTTTATTTGTATATGTGTGTTTATGTATGTATGTATGAATGAACGAACGAACGAACGAATGTAGGTACGTGTGTGTGTGTGTGTGTGTGTGTGTGTGCGTGCATGTGTGTGTGTGAATGTATGTGTGCGTATTTGTGCCCACGTATTAGTGTGATTATACATAGAATGTGTTTATGTGCATTTTTACTTTTATGTCAAATAAATGTTAAGTTGGTCTGCTTAACTTTCGCAGTTTTATTGCTGGAGGGTGTGATGTTTTCAAGAAAATCAACTTTTTTGTGTGTGTTTGTTTGTTTGTTTTGTATGTTTTCTTGTTTGTATGTTTATAAAATTTCAGTGTGTATGTCAATTATATGTAGCTGTTTTTTATAGTGAAATTTCAAAAATTCATGAGTTTACATGGTGAAATATTTTTAAATGTGTTGGTTAGTTCGTGCTTGTTTGTATGTTTATTTGTTTGTATGTTTGATGTTTGTTTGTATATAGATTTGTACGTATGTTTGTAGGTATGTTTGTATGTTTGTATGTATGTATGTTTGCGTATGCTTGTTCTTTCAAGTTTGTATGTTGGACGGCAACATTGGTTTGTAATGTTTATTTTATTGCGTATTTTATGTGGGCACATGTGCCTTCACGTAATTGGATGCTTGCATGAATATTTCGTTTCGTTTCGTTTCGTTTGTTCATATGTTTGTCTGTGTGTGTGTGTGTGTGCGTTTGTTTGTTTGTATTTTTATTGGTTTACACACGAATACAAACACACAAACACGAACGCACACGCACACACACTCATACATACCACGTAGAAGTTTGTATGTTTATTAGACTGTTTGCATTGTTTATTTCATTGGGCGGCGCGATGGTGTAATGGCTAAGGTGTCTGGCATTGTTGGTACAGTGTCCGGGTTCGAATGCAAAAAGGATCCCCGCCTATCACATGCAAAAGTATGTGATGCGTTAATCCACGTGCCGTGTGTTTGTTGTAATAATGATAATGCGCCTCAGTCACTTGCAATTGTGCTATTAAAATGAAATTATTATTATTACTATTATTATTATTACTATTATTATTATTAATATTATTATTTATGCATTTTTTAGAGTTTTTAGCCTCTAACAAAATTTCCAAAAAATGACCAAAAAATTGTTCACGGCTCCAGATCATTGCACTGCTGGTATAACATTTTGAATCGGCAATTTTATATTCACGTGGGTGATTAGTTTTCGTGTTAATTTTGCGGGTAATTACGTTCAGTTGAGTCTGTTTGCACGTGTGCTTACTTGCTAGAATGTTGTGAGGTCATATTTTTGAGGTTTTTGAATGTTCAAGATGTGAAGAGCTCCTGACCAACGTGTCTGACCACAATGAAATCAGCAGTATTGGTGGATGGCGCTAGTAACGGAGCGAAAAAATGTGATTAAGTTGAGTGTTTTTTAAAGTGATGACAATGATGATGAAATGATGATGAAATGGTGACAAAATAGCTCGAGGCATGTAATATAAACCCACCGGCACTTCAACATCAAATGATTTCAAAAAAGAGCTTTTGAAAATTTTAAATACTTCGGTGTATTTCAATGAATAAGTTCATCTCAATGCAGCCTTCCGACCATTAAAATCCTTTTTAAAAAATTTATTCAAACATTTTTAAAAATTCTTACAAAAATCTAATAAACGTGTTCTCTCAATTTTTTTTGAATTATTATTATTTAAATAATTATTACATTTATATAGCGCTAATTCTAAAATAATTATTTCAAAAGTATGCAACCTGGCTATAAATGGGTGGTGGATTTTTTAAAAGGCCATTTTGAAAAATATACAGGACGAAACAGACACAGCTGGAAATAATGATGGGATAGAGAGAGAGAGAGAGAGAGAGAGAGAGAGAGAGAGAGAGAGAGAGAGAGAGAGAGAAACAGAGAGAAAGAGAAAGAAGCAGAAAGAGAGAAAAAGAGAGAGAGAGAGAGAGAAAGATAGAGCAAGAGAAAGAGAGACGATGATGATCAACCCGATGTATGTCTGCTGGAATGATTAGAATAATGATGATAAGATAAGAAAGATGACGACGACCGACGACTGAATTATAATTCGGA